TCCCTTCTCCCCTTCAAAGAGCGCCTGCTCAATAAGCCACTCGAACAAGACCCCCCCGCTTCAGGCTCTGCTTCTAGGGAACCCGACCTAAGATGCACTTGGACCCTGGACACTCACTTGACATGTCCGTTAGCAGGTCCCTCACATGCAAGACGACGATAATAAAACACACCTCATGGGAATGTCGCACCGGTTACATGAGAAAACCTGGGCAAAAACCCTCGCTCACCTACAGCGCTATTTGAGCTTAAAGGATTATTGTGACCTCATGGAAATATCAGGCTATGTGTAAATTACCCTGCCCACAGGGGGAGCGGACCTTAATCAAAGAGCTTCCTCGCTTGGCCTCCAGTCCCTCTCTTGCTCCACTAGGTCTCCGGGGCTGGCTCCTAGCCCTCTGCCCAGCCTCTCAGTCCAGGCAGCACATGCAGCCAGGTAGAAGCACGGGCCACCTCGTTCAATTCCAAGTTTATGCTGAGGTTCCCCAGATCCCGAAGACTCCAAGCACTAAATCTCCAGCTTTGATCCCTCTCTAGGACACCGGATTCACAGCCCCTAGTGTCTATTTAACAACTCCGTGGGGCTCTGCGACAGACACCTGACGTGACGTGGCCAAAACACGACCCTTGGGTGGCCGCCTCTCGGTCGGCTTCCCCACCACTGCCTGCCTTCCCCATCTCAGTACACAGCTGCCTTAGAGAGAACTGCTCAAGTCAAAACTCTAGGAATTAGACCTGATTGCTTTTTTTTTATTCTCTCAGCCTTTCTATCCAATCTGTCAGTAAGCTCTGCCAACTCCTCCTGCAAATCCCACTTCCCTCCATGTCCGTCACCAGTGACATAATCCAGGTCACCATCATCTTACTTGAACCACTGCACCCTGACAAATTCACTCTCCTTTAAAATATCAAGGTCGGGGCGCCTGAGTGGTTCCGTCGGTTAAGGGTCCAACTCTCGGTTTCGGCTCAGGTCATGATCTCACGGTTCATGGGATAGAGCCCCCCATCAGGATCTGTGCTGATAGCGCAAAGCCTGCTTGGGATTCTCTCTCTCCCTCTCTCTCTGCCCCTTTCCTGCTCTCTTGCTCTCTCTCAAAATAAATAAATAAACATTAAAAAAAATAAAAATAACATATCAAGGTCATGCCACCGACCTAGCTTAAAACCATCAAATGGTTTCCCGCCGTTCTTAGAGCAAGCTCTATCTCTCTCTCCCTCTCCCTCCTCTCTCTTTCCGCTTTCCTTTCCTTCCTTCTCCCGCCTGATACACACCACACACACACACACACACACACACACACACACACACACACTATATACCAGCCACATGGCTTTCTTCTTGTTCTTTGAAAATGTCAACATCATTCTTGCCTCAGGGAATTTACATTTGCTCTACCTTCAGCCAGAACTGTCCCTCCCTAAACTTCCGTGGCAGTCTCCTTTGTGTCATTCTATGTTTGTTTTACTCTTCCAATTTAAAGTAGTTACCCAGGCATACTCACTCTAGCACATGACTCGGTTTTAATTCTCTGGAAATCCCTTCTCACTCTTTCTTGTTGACTTGTCCATTTGTGTACTACCCATCTTCCTCGCTACTCTAAGGTAGTTTGGGATCTTGTTTATTTCGTTCACAGCTATATCCCCTATATCCCAGGGCCCTAAAACACTGGCTGATACATAGTAAGTGATCACTAAATACAGTTTTTAGATGACAGATTCATGGATGAATGAATAAATGGAGCACTGGCCCCAAGCTCGGGTTCTAGCTCAGCTATACCATTTACTAGCCGTGAGACCTTGGGCAAGTTAAGTGACCCTTTCAAGGGCACCGTGGATGGGGTTTGCCAGGCTGGTGCTGAAGGGGAACAGGTAACAGGTTTTAACCTCCCAGAGTGTAGTGGGGCCTTAAAACCTCCTTCCTGGGTCCTAGACTCACTCTGCAGTACATATGGTAAAAGCTTACTCATGGGGTAGGGTGACCAATCGCTCCGTTTGCCCAGGCAGGACTGAGGGTTTCGGGGCACACAAGAGTTTCAATACTAAAACTGAGACAGTTCTAGCCAAAGTGGGCCAGCTCATCACCGCCTGTGAGGCCTAACACCTTCAAGGCCTTGAAGCCCCGTGGAGGAAGTTCAGTAAGGAAAGCAGGGCCTGAGTGGTGAGAGGGGGTGGTGAGGAACCTGACAGGCTGTGGTGCTGATTATGAAACGTCCTTGGACAGGTTTGGATCCTGTTGAGTTTTATTATTATTGCTATTGTTCTACTTTTTAATTTGAAAAAGTTTCGACTAGAGAAATCAACAAGAGTCCAAATAACTTGCTTTATTATTCTCTCTCTCTGTTTCATTTTTTTTCTGGACCATTTGAAAGCAGACTACAGCTGTATGCTTCGTAACCCTTTAATATTTCAGTGTGGCTATCCTTAGAACAAGGAGAAGCTCTTATATGACCATAATTCAAATTTAAGAAAGTTAACGTTGACACGATACTTTTATTTAATCAACAGTCTATATTCCAAACGCATAAACTGTCCCCAAAAGAAAACTTCCACTCCAGGATCCAGTCCAGGATCCCATATCGCGTTTAATTTTCATCTGATTTTATCCTCCTATTCCTTGTCTTTGGTAATATTGACATTTTTTTTTTTTTAAGAGAACCTGCCAATTATTTTATAGAATGTCCTTCAGTTGGGATCTTCCTTATTTTTAGAATGGGAATAATAATATCCACCTCACAGGATTAAATGAGATTCTTTCCTAATCTTAGTTTACAGAATAAATAAGATGGAATTTGAGATATGCCTAGCATGTGACAAGAGCTCAATAAATAATGGATATTAGGGTAACATGGAAGAAAGGAAAAAAATGGACTTTGCTAGACATTTCTTTGTGGAAGGGTTTTGGGTTTAAAAAGTATATAAAAGGGAATCACTGAAAATGAAGATAATGTTATAAAGTAGAGGCCTACTGGGGCGCCTGGGTGGCGCAGTCGGTTAAGCGTCCGACTTCAGCCAGGTCACGATCTCGCGGTCCGGGAGTTCGAGCCCCGCATCGGGCTCTGGGCTGATGGCTCGGAGCCTGGACCCTGTTTCCGATCCTGTGTCTCCCTCTCTCCCTGCCCCTCCCCCGTTCATGCTCTGTCTCTCTCTGTCGCAAAAATAAATAAACGTTGAAAAAAAAAATTTTTAAAAAAAAAATAATAAAAATAAAGTAGAGGCCTACTTTCATAATGTGTTAGCTTTTTCATTTTTATTCATTAATTTATTTAGCAAATATTTATTGAATCCCTAGAACGTGTCTGGAAACCTCAGGCAAATTTCTTCTCTCATCTACAAGCTTATGGTTTCCTCTGCACATGAGGATTATTAATAATATTTTCAAATAATTTCTGAAAAGACCAGATAAGAAGAATATAGATCTTCAGACAGTTTCAAAACTTGAAAGGTCTATACACATATAAATAGACGCTCATATTCTTTTTTTTTTTTAATTTTTTTTAGTACTTATTTATATGAGAGAGAGGCAGAACGTGAGCAGGAGAGGATCAGAGAGAGAGGGAGACACAGAATCCGAAGGACACCTAGGCTTTGAGCTGTCAGCACAGAGCCCGATGCAGGCTCGAGCTCACAAACCGTGAGATCATGACCTAAGCCGAAGTCAGACCCTGAACCCAGTGAGCCACCCAGGTGCCCCAATGTTCACATTCTTGATAATGATATTCAGTATCAGGACCCTTCAGGTTGAACTTGAGAAGCAAGGGACCAAAAACCCTAGATTAGGATGACAAAAACTGTTTTTAAAAATAGACACATGTCAGGGCGTCCGACTTCAGCTCGGGTCACGATATCGCGGTCCGTGAGTTCAAGCCCCACGACGGGCCGGCCGTGTTGACAGCTCAGAGCCTGGAGCCTGCTTCGGATTCTTTGTCTCCCTCTCTCTCTGCCCCTCCCCGGCTCATGCTCTGTCTCTCTCACTCTCAAAGATGAATAGATGTTTAAAAAAAATTTTTTTTAAATAGACACATGTCCATGATGTTTATGCTGAACTAAAACTGTGTTGCACCCCCACTGAACCAATGACCATGGGAACAGAAAGTGGGTGTGCAAGGGTAGATGGGAAGCAGAGGAGGACCACCTGACACCATGGAATTGTTCAAAGTCAAGGCGCGGCTACAGAGGAACGATTTGGATTTGGGCACATCACAGTCAAGGCTATATAGCGAACACAGAAGACGACAGCAGTGACTCAGTAGCACTTGAACTCGATCCAACACGTGTTTCATAGACAATGCTTTCTCAAAACACCTTGCTGTTCACTTGCAGACCATACATCCGTCTCTGCAAGACCCCAAGGCTTTTTCTTCCCTGGAAGTCAAGGAAACCAGTCATGGGACTCTTTCCTTCCACCCTACCCAGCATTTCAAGTCAGAAAGACCAGGGTTCAAATTCAAACTTTCCAACTGACTCTCCGTGTGAATTTGGGAAACGTGCTTTACTTGTCCAACTATATGTTCTCATCCGTAGAAATAGTGATTACTTTACAGATTTGCTATCAAGTAACTCTTAAAGTGTTTTCCCAAATGAGCAGCTGAAGCATCACCCGGGCACGTGTCTGAGATGCAGATTCTCAGGCCTCACCTGAGAGCCACTGAATCAAGAATTCTGAGGGCAGGGCCCAGCCATCTGCATTTTAACAAGCCCTCCAGGCGATTCCACCGGGCTAAAGTTTGAGAACCCTTGCTGTAATGGATTGAACGATGTGATGTATATAAATAACTCGCACGAGGCCAAGCAGCCACATCACAGAGTAACTGCACAGTAAGTTTTACTCCCTCCTCCGCCTCCCCCACCGCCCACAACTCTCCCAACACACGGAAGTGGGGATGCGTGCGTGCGCGCGCGCGCACACACACACGCGCGCGCGTGAGTCAATAATTGCTTGGAATACTGTACGTGAAAACACTATCGTTTCAAAATTACATACATTAAGAGCTGGAAGTATACCTGTAAACCTTCATATGGCCGGGGGTGCCTGGCTGGCTCAGTCAGTACAGCATGGTACTCTTGATCTTGGGGTTGAGAGTTCAAGCCCCACACTGGGCAAAGAGATTACTTAAAAAAAACAACAACAGGGGCGCCTGGGTGGCGCAGGCGGTTAAGCGTCCGACTTCAGCCAGGTCACGATCTCGCGGTCTGTGAGTTCGAGCCCCGCGTCGGGCTCTGGGCTGATGGCTCGGAGCCTGGAGCCTGTTTCCGATTCTGTGTCTCCCTCTCTCTCTGCCCCTCCCCCGTTCATGCTCTGTCTCTCTCTGTCCCAAAAAAATAAATAAACGTTAAAAAAAAAAAAACAACAAAACAAAACAAAAACTTCATATGATGGAATGTAATGCCATGGTTCTCACATCTTGCCTACATGAAACTGGGAGGCAAGTTCATCAATAAATATCTATTACATGGTTATCATTTGTCCAACTCTGAATGCTAGAGAGAATATTAGAAAAACAGAAAAAATAGCTCCTGACTTCAAAGAGCTTAGTGGAGAAAAAAATGAAGGTACTGTTAAAAAACAAAACTCACCGAGTAAATGTGAAGATGTAATTGGCTTTATTAAGCAATTCCTGAATCGGGAAGCGTCCCATCCAGCAGGCAGAGGGGAGCTGCAAGGAGCTGTAAAAAATGGAAGATGTTTATAAGAAGGAGGCAGGGGGTAAGGAGGTTTTGCGAATCATGAAAAGAAAGGACTGTGTCAGGCAAGGCCACTTGCCCTTAGGTGGAAAAGCTGGGGGTCTTATCGTGCAGATTACCTCATCCTCCTTTTGGGGAATGGAGAGGCCCTGTGTGACAGATGACCCCACAGGTGCTGACCCGAAAATTCTTGACTGGCCAGTAAAAACTACATTTCTAGGGGAGGTCAAAACCGCCTAAGTACCCTAATTAGGTTAGGTATTGAGCCCCCCCCCCCCGCCCCTGCCCGTTGGTGATGTGGTCTAGCTTAAGTGACTCCATTTTGGGTCTGTGCTTTTGTTTTTGACAGTAATTAATACTGACGGACACCCGTGTGACAGAAACTGTTTGGGGAGGAAATTATCTTGACGAATCCGGAGACTCCACGAACATCAGCAGACAAGTTACACCAAGGGATCAGGAACAAAAAGGCTTGGGCGCCTAGGTGGCTCACTCGTTTTAAGTGTCCGACTCCTGATTAAGGCTCAGGTCATGATCTTGCAGTTCCTGAGTTTGAGCCCCACGTCGGGGCCCCGTGCTGACGGAGTGGAGCTTTCTTGGGATTCCCTCTCCCTCTCTCTCTGCCCCTCCCCTCTCTCAAAATAAATAAATAAGCATTAAAAAAAAAAGAAACAGGCTCACAGATCAAATTTCAGTGCTCGAATCACATAGTTTGAGTTGACTTAGAAAAAGAGAGAAGTAAAGGGAAAGAAACAGAGTGGTTGACACATTTGGGATCGGGTACACGTGGGATAGAAGGACCATGATGCCTGAAACATGAGTTACGCCAAATGTGTACGTCCTGTATCTCACTGTCACATCACCTACTGGTGGCGTGGTTATAAAGATCAGAGTTAAAAATGAACAAGGAGGGGCGCCTGGGTGGCGCAGTCGGTTAAGCGTCCGACTTCAGCCAGGTCACGATCTCACGGTCCGTGAGTTCGAGCCCCGCGTCAGGCTCTGGGCTGACGGCTCAGAGCCTGGAGCCTGTTTCCGATTCTGTGTCTCCCTCTCTCTCTGCCCCTCCCCCGTTCATGCTCTGTCTCTCTCTCTGTCCCAAAAATAAATAAACGTTGAAAAAAAAAAAGAAAAAAAAATGAACAAGGAGACTCAGCAAGTGGAGATGACCTGGAGACAAGGCACCTGGGTGGCTCAGCTGGTTAAGCGTTTGGCTCTTGATCTCGGCTCAGCTCATGATCTCACAGTTCATGAGTTCCAACCACGTGCCAGACTCTGTGCTAACAGAGCGGAGCCCTGCTTGGGAGTCTCCCCCTCTCTCTGCCCTTCCCCAGCCCTCTCCCTCTCAAAATAAATCAATCTTTTTAAAAAAGAAATCACCTGGAGGTAATATATTCTTGCTCAATCGGTGAGAAAGAGGGACAAGTATGCCTGGCCACTGTTATAATTTGCCACTCTGCTGCTTTTGTCTGTGTGTCTCAAACAGAGGACATGTGGGGCCAGAACGGGAGTCACTAATGGGTAGCTGACTTAAGAAATCTACAATTCTTGGGGCGCCTGGGTGGCGCAGTCGGTTAAGCGTCCGACTTCAGCCAGGTCACGATCTCGCGGTCCGGGAGTTCGAGCCCCGCGTCGGGCTCTGGGCTGATGGCTCGGAGCCTGGACCCTGTTTCCGATCCTGTGTCTCCCTCTCTCTCTGCCCCTCCCCCGTTCATGCTCTGTCTCTCTCTGTCCCAAAAAAATAAATAAACGTTAAAAAAAAAAATTAAAAAAAAAAAAGAAATCTACAATTCTTGTGGGTATTTAGTCTGACTGGGTCCTTCTTGTCGATATTCAATATATATGCTCTACTTGTCTTACCATGGCTAATATGTCTCAATCTTTTAGCAATCTCCAGCCTCTCTATTTATGTCACCTATTGCCTTTATTTCTGTTCTTCTCTGTAGAGTATAAGTAAATATTCTTAAATAATAAAGGAAACACATAATTTAGGTACTACGTAGGAGGAAGTTCCCACATATCTCATTTAATTCTTATAGCTTATTTAATGAGGTAAAAAAAAAAAGACGTATGTTGGAGCACTGATTCATACGAGAAGAGCACAATCGTCTATATAATGAGTCAAAGGCTTGGTGACATGGAGGGCACATTCTAGGGATTCTAATATGGAAAGCTGGGCTTAGTCGGTGAAGGATTCATGGAAGAGTCGTTCCTCCACCAGGGCTTGAAGAACGTGAGGAAAAAGAGAGTGGGGAAACATAAACAGAGATCACTGACAGGAGAACAGACCCCCACATTACGCAGCCACAAAGTTGCAGCCAGCTACGAGAAGGAACTGACAGAGAAAGCCAAAATGCTCACAAGACAAAGTTGAACTTGCTTCCAAAAGGTGAAGCATTTTTTGAAGATGCACTCCCAGTAGTAAAATAATGGGGGTACAGCCCCTGTGGTGGATTGCGTTACTGCGCACAATGTTTGCTGCTGCTCCCTGTTTAGGATTCTACATCCCCGCCCTGCTGGTGTCGGCCTTGGCCAATAGTCTTGCTTGGACTAATGAAAGTGATTAGAAGTGACGTGCCCACTGCTGAAGACAGGTTTAAGAACTAGAGTGTTGGGGCGCCTGGGTGGCTCAGTCAGTTCAGCGGCCGACTTCGGCTCAGGTCATGATCTCGCGGTCCGTGAGTTCGAGCCCCGCGTCGGGCTCTGTGCTGACGGCTCAGAGCCTGGAGCCTGTTTCAGATTCTGTGTCTCCCTCTCTCTGACCCTCCCCCGTTCATGCTCTGTCTCTCTCTGTCTCAGGAATAAACATTAAGAAAAAAAAATTTTTTAAAGAACGTATTAATTCTAATGGACTTGAATTGAGCAATATGTTTACACTATGGTAAAAATATGTTTACACAATATGGTTCTGGAATGAAAATAAACTGGAGGCTACGGTCAGTCCAATGTAGACAAGAAGTACAAGTAAAAAAAAAAAATTTGTAAGCCACTGAGATTTGCAGGGCTCTTGTTACTATATTATAACTGAGCTCACTGATACAGCTTCCAGTCAGCATTGTTTTGGAACTTTTAGCCAATGCAGTAAGAGCAAAAAACAAAATGGTTTTGGATCGATAAGGAAAAACAAAATTCTTTCGATATGTGATTATAACTTCCGATGCAGAAAAATCGAGAGAATTTACGGATAAATTATTAGAATTAATAAGATAGGCTGGCAATCCGGAGCAGAAAAAAGATACTGGTGTGAGTGTTCGCCGAGGGTAAAAAAGATTAAATGCGGGTGGGGGGTGGGGGGGGGCGGGGAAAAAAAGCCTGGGTGAATGAAGACGTGAAAGGGGAAAATGTACGCAGTGGGGAAGTGAGAGAGACAGGATACATTATTAGGAGCGAACATGGTAGAAAGAACGGCTCAGTTGGGGAAAAAATAAAAGATGGATTGGCGACATTTCTGAATATGAACACAAAATACGAAAACCAATCGATTTTCTACGCCCCAGGAAAAAAGTACTTAGAAAATACAATTTTTTAAAAACTTGCCATTTAAAATGAGCAGTATAGACAAATGTTTCCAGGAATAAATCTAGCAACAGATGAGTATGTTCCTTATGGGAAAATTAGAATCCTAGATAGAAAGACAAAGATGACTTAAATAAATGGAGAAATAGAGCAAATTCTTGTTTTGGAAGATTCAGCATTGTAAAGATGTCAACTCTTCCCAGGCGAATCCATACAGTCAATGCTCTTTTAATCAAAGGCTCAGTGGGGTTAGGGTGGAATTTGACAAGCTGATTCTAAAATTACATAGAAGAGAATAGGACCAACAATAACCACAGCACTCCTGAAAAAGAAAAATAAGGTGGAAAGACATACCCTAGGAGCCATCAAGTCTTATTTAATGGCTGTAATAGTTAAGACAGGGTGCTCCTGACAAATGGATGTGGACGTCTCACCAAAGAGGAAATAAAAATGGCCATAACACGCAAAGATGCTAAAATCACTAATCATTCAGGGAAACACAAATGGACTCTACAAAATACCATTTTGCACAGGCTAGAACGGCAAGATTGAAGTCAGGTAATAACAAGGGTGGACAAAAAATGTAAAACAACCCGCGCTTTCAGCCGCTGTTGCTAGAAGCTCATCGGTTTTGGAAAAGCGAAGTTGAACACGTACATATCTATGACCCAGTAGTTCCCACTTGTAGATATGTAAGCTAGAGAACTTCTTGCACATGTGCGAGGAGGTATAGAAAGAATGCTTACAGCAGTCTTCACCCTGACAACAAAATGCTGAAAATAACCAACTCTCCATCACAAGTAACAAGATCATCAGACTGAGACATTCATCCCCTGGAATGAGCTGCAACAGTGGACGCGAATGAACTACAGCCGCATGCGTCAACGTGAATGAGACTCAGAGACACAAAGTTCAGTGAAAAGGCCAGGTCACTAAAGAATCCATCCAGCTTAAATCCAATTGCCTACTGGTCTAACCGGGGAAGACTAAGCAGTGTATCATTAACAGATATATTCACACCGAGTTAAGAAAACCCCTGAAGCAAATGAGCTGATTGGCAATCTCAAATCCAGGCTGCTGTTCACGTGGAAGGTGAGCAACATGACCTTCTAAGGGGGCTTCTAAGGTGGTGGTGATGTTCTATTTTTGAAGCTAGGTGGTAGGTCCAGGAATGCGCGCCTGATTATTATTCTTTAATTTGCACATATACATTTTACACCGTTACATGTGTAGTTTACGTGTATGGTATAGTTCACACTATGTAGAAATTACAAACCACATAAAAACAGACAATTTTAAAGGGCGGGGTAAAATAAACTAAACATTCTTTTAACTAATGGTATCAAAAATATACTTCTAGTGAACTGTAGTTTGGTTTCATGTTCTGAACACTTAGCTTTTAATGTCTTGCTAATCATGATAGCTTCACGTTAGCTAATTTCTGAAGACTCGTATATACTCAGGGTGACGTATATTGTTAACGATAGCGGGTGTCTATTAATTTTTCAAATGGTCTTCTCTAATAATCTCAGATTTGGGGATAACTACTTGTTAGGTTTCATAAAAGTGTCACCTTTTTACCTCACAATATGGGTGATGAAAACCTAGTTCGAACGAGGAGGACAGTCAGCTCCTAAGTTTACTTGTATTAGTCTTGGTGTTTTCATCCATCTGAGGATTCTTTGTAAGAATCTCTTGAGGTCCCTATCAGTGTCTCAAGAGTTTAAACTTCTTTTTTTTTTTTTTTTAATTTTTTTTTTCAACGTTTATTTATTTTTGCGACAGAGAGAGACAGAGCATGAACGGGGGAGGGGCAGAGAGAGAGGGAGACACAGAATCGGAAACAGGCTCCAGGCTCTGAGCCATCAGCCCAGAGCCCGACGCGGGGCTCGAACTCACGGACCGCGAGATCGTGACCTGGCTGAAGTCGGACGCTTAACCGACTGCGCCACCCAGGCGCCCCAAGTTTAAACTTCTTAATACAATCTCTGAATCCTCTCAAGCACGAAATCCTCTCAATTACGAAAACTGGTCATTGTTTCTACTAACTACTGCTGTACAACTATGCCCGAGTACAGGAGCTTAAAACAATAATTCAGTATTATTCAATATTAACATTTTGTCAGTCAGCAATTTGGACAAGGCACAGTGAGAACAACTCATCTCTGCTTCATGATGCTTGGGACGTCATCTAGGATGAGTTGACTGGGAGACAGAACACCGGGGCCACCAGCCATCTCCCCACACGGCCTGTCCATTTGCATAGCTTGCGCTTCCTCACGGCATGGTTGCCCAAGGTTCTAAAAGTGCAATGCAGAAGCGCTTAGTCTCTTCGTATGCTAGCCCCACAACTGGCACAGAGTCACTTCTATCATACACTGTTGGTCAAGTAAGTCACTAAGCTTGGATTCAAGTGGGAGTACAGTTAGATTCCATCTTTCAGAAGCAGAAAAGAATCGGCAATCACATTTAGTTCCATAGAAACACAGCACCAAAAGGGCGCCACCATAAACCCTCCTCACTGGAGAACTGCACATCTTCTCCCAGAAGAGACGTGAAGGTCTCATACACTGACCCACGAGAGAAACTAGGGTCAGTCAGTTATTAGCAAAACCTGTCTCCTTTCTTTTTTGACCAAAATAAACACAATTAGACATTCCTGCATCCCTGTGAGGGGTCCCCACTGCCTTCTAAGGATAGGCAGGCATTGTGGATGCTTGGAAGAGACAAGGATCGCACTGAACGGAGAGATGTGAATTGGTGATTTGCTACGGCTCCACAACCCATGCAGCTGGGCTGCAGAAACTTGAACATTTGAAGTAAGTGCTCTCAATTGGTTTCCAAATGCCAGTCTCTTGTTTTCGGCACAGAGTTGGCCTGGCTTAGAGACATGAACTGACTGCTAGGTGCGGCTTTAGCAGTCCTGCTGCCCGCTCTGACAGGTGGATGGGTTCCTTTCACGGAGCCAGAGGCCCCACAGCTGCTAATAGTAATTATACTTGTCAGCAATGCATTCCCCTCAGGAAACTCCTGCTGCTTCATTAGGGCTAATTGCCAATAGGCAGTGCAGTTTCCTAGAAGAGGAGGGGACATAAACCCACAGGGAGTTGACAGAACAGCTGTGTGAGCTCAGAGAAGCCAGATGTGGCCATGGGCCATTACAGTGTAGCTGAGGGCTGCTGAATTCATCCAACCCAGTCCTGGAAGCAGAAGAAAAGAAAGAATTTGGTGAGGTAGGCTAAACTCCTCTCCATCTGTACTGTCTTACCAGCTTTTGTGAAAAACAGGAACACACCTCGCTAGACTTCTGACTTTAACGATCAAAACACAACACCTCTATTCTGAACAAACATATCTTACCTTTCGCTGGGGGACTGAAGGCTTCTCCTATAACTAGTTTCATTCATTTATCCATTCAGTACATATTTATATACCTCCTATGTGTCTGGATCGATGCCTGCACTCAGGGTACAAGACGAAGTGCTCTCTGTCTGACGGGAGACAGATCGTATCTAGAGCCTTGCAAGTTAAATTAAGGGCTGTGGCTTTATATTAATATGAAATGAAAAGCCACTGAAGCAGAGAAGTGCCGTGATCTTACGTCTCAAAGTATCAGTCTGTTGACTCTGTTGACAGTGACTGCAAGGGAGTGAAGGTAGAGACAAGAACACCCACAGGGAGGCAATGGCAATGAACCAGGTGAGAGGCGATTGGGGCTCAGAGCATCGTGGTTATGGGAAGGTAATGAGAAGGAAGGGGATCGTGAATATATGTGGAAGGTAGAATCAACATAATTTCCTGATGGACTGAAAACGGAGGGTAAAAAGGAAGAATATAGATGGCTCCAAAGATCTGGGGCTAAGTAACTCCCCAAAGGATGGAGTTGCCATCAAGTGAGAAGGAAACACCAGCAGTAGAGCGGGAGGAAACCAGGAGTTCCTTTCGGAATGGTGACTTTGAGAGGTCTGACGTCCAAATGGAGATGTCAAATAAACAGTCACATGAGCATGCCTCGAGTTGAGGAGAGGGGTCTGGGCTGCAGGTAAATTTGGGGTCATTGGTACACGGACAGAATGTCAACTATTTCAAAATCAAATGAGTTCACCAAAGAAGCGGGCGTAGACAGAGAAAAGATAACGACTGAAAAAGCAGCTCGGGAAAGGAGGACCTGGCAAAAGATACTGAGAAAAAACAACCAGGGCGGGAGGAGGAACCCCAAGGGCGCAGGGTTTCAGAAGCCACATGGAGGAAGTGCAATTAATGGATGAGGGGTATTCGGCTCTGTCTCATAATGCTCGCAGGTCGGGTAACATGAGACCTGAGAGGTGACCATTGCACTGGTATAGAGAAAACTCTCAGCACTTAAAATGAAATTTTTAGGAGCACTGGGGTGGCTCAGCCAATTGAGTATCTGAGTCTTGATGTCAGCTCAGGTCAGGATCCCAAGGTCCTGGGATCGAGCCCCCCCATCAGTCTCCACACTCGGCGTGGAGCCTGCTTGAGATGCTCTCTGTCCCTCTGCCCCTCTCCTCGGCTCAGGCTCTCTCTCTCTAAAAAGAAAATAATCATAAAAAATAATAAATAAAATACAATGACATTTTTAACAGTTCTGTCTCGGGCTTTAACATCAGTAAAGATGTTTGCAATGCTGACTCCCGAGGGAGTATGTCTCCCCCATACAAGGTAACCTGGTTCTGTTTTTCAGGTTTTTAAAAATGCTAAACAATAAAAGTAAAAGCTTCCTTTAATTAGGAGGGGAGCTAAGGTACAGCTGAGGCACAAGCTGGGTTGCACATAGTAGTTGAATAAGAAGAATGGCCCACTTGTCCAGCTTCTGATACAAATTTGATCATATATCCTTCTAACAGTTCACTTTCTTCCTGTAGCCCATACCTCCTCACATTTGCACCACGTCTCTCAGCACCTCCCCAACGGTTTCCGTTTGTCTCAGAACATCCAAGGCCTCCTTAATCCAAAGTTGAACTTGGATTATCACTGAATCCACGTCAAGGGGAGAGGGTGCTGGCTGAGAGTCTGGATTCCCAAACTATGCTGCCTGAGTTCAAAACCCAGCTCTACGTGTGTACTAGTCAGCTACCACTGGGTTACGCTGCCTAACAAACAAATGTTGATTACAGCAACAAATACATATTTCTCCTTCATCCGACGTGTAGGTAGCCATAGGTAAGCTGCCTTGAGTATGATCCTGACTCTGGGTCGTGATAGGCTCTGTACCATGTGCCTTCTTGACTGAAGAAGGGATCTTGATTTGAGAAATACATGTTCTAGCGGAAGACAGCAGAGACTATACTCTGCAAACACTTTTTTTTTTTTTTTCGTTTATTTATTTTTGGGACAGAGAGAGACAGAGCATGAACGGGGGAGGGGCAGAGAGAGAGGGAGACACAGAAGTGGAAACAGGCTCCAGACTCTGAGCCATCAGCCCAGAGCCCGACGCGGGGCTCGAACTCACGGACCGCGAGATCATGACCTGGCTGAAGTCGGACGCTTAACCGACTGCGCCACCCAGGCGCCCCTGCAAACACTCTTAAAGCTTCTGCTTGGATGTCACATCCACTCATATTTTTTTTACTAAATAAATTAAGTCACATGGTATGGTTTCTACCAGCAATTCCTTCCTTTTCTGTATGTATATGCTGCTATGTCCATCAAAAAGTGGGGCCTGTTTCCCATCGTCTTGAATCTGGACTGGCCTTGTGAACTTGCTTGGACCAACAGAATGTGGCAGGAAGGGTCAATTGAGAATTTTTTTTTTTTACTTTAGTATTATTTTTAATTCTATTTTTTTTTTTTAATTTACATCCAAATTAGTTAGCATATGGTGCAACAATGATTTCAGGAGTAGATCCCTTAATGTCCCTTACCCATTTAGCCCGCCCCCCCGACACCCCCTCCAGGAACCCTCTGTTTGTTCTCCGTATTTATGAGTCTCTTATGTTTTGTCCCCCTCCCTATTTTTTATATTATTTTTGTTTCCCTTCCCTTATGTTCATCTGTTTTGTCTCTTAAAGTCCTCATATGAGTGAAGTCATAGGATTTTTGTCTTTCTCTCACTGACTAATTTCACTTAGCATAGTACCCTCCAGTTCCATCCACGTAGCTGCAAATGGCAAGAGTTCATTCTTTTTCATTGCCGAGTAATACTCCATTGTGTATATATACCACATCTTCTTTACCCATTCATCCATCGATGGACATTTGGGCTCTTTCCACACTTTGGCTATTGTGGATAGTGCTGCTATAAACATGGGGGTGCACGTGTCCCTTCAAAACAGCACCCCTGTATCCCTTGGATAAATGGCTAGTAGTGCCATTGCTGGGTCGTAGGGTAGTTCTATTTTTAATTTTTCGAGGAACCTCCATACTGTTTTCCAGAGTGGCTGCACCAGCCTGCATGCCCATCACTTGAGGATTTTTTAAGCCCAGCTCTTAAGAAGGCTGGCAGCTTCAACTTCCTGTGTCCTAGGGCACAAGTTGGAAGAAAATCCAGACTGGACAACAGAGTGAATAGAATCCATGTGAAGGGGAGTCCTGAAGGATAAGAGACCATCCTGGCCTCAGCTAGATCCCAGCTGAGGTGGGTACATGAAGAGACCCTAAGTGAGACCAGCAGAGGAAACTCCAGCTGAGCACCAGCAAAACCACAGAATCATGAGGACTAATCAAGTCGTGTCTTAAGCCACTAACTTCTGGGGTAGTCCGTGTTGCGAGAACAGGTGGCTGAAGGACAGGGGTCAAGTCCCCAGTCAACAGAGCAAGAAGGAGGTGTGTGGAGAGGAAAGTGAATGTGTCCGACGAAGAGCACAGTTTAGCGCAGCCCTTCAGGAGCGCTGTGAAGTATTTCAATGCTCTGTGCGTCACCTGCTCCTCTGTAAATGGGAGTGATTTCTTAACTGCATCCCTCTCATTGTATTGTGAGTGTTAAAGTATAAGGGTTAAATAAATAAAGGCATGTGACACATTCAGACTTGGCACAAAAGTTAGATATGTTCCGTTCGACCCCTGGTAAGCCTCTGTTTCTTGCCTTTGTGGTCCCCATAAGGTGCCAGTGGGAACCTGGGACCCTCACCCTCGTCCAGATCTCTGCCAGCCACAGCCGGTTCTCAAGGAAACGCAATACCACTCGAGTTCGTTATTGAGCTCTAACCAAGTTTACATTCACACACTCCGTTACTGTCCCTAAAGCCCCTTTTCTACGTAAGGGAAGCTGCCGGAGCTGGATCACACACAGTGTGTCCGAGACAACCTCCCATCCGCCCAGATGTAGGGCCTGGTACTG